ATTGGTCACCTAAGCCGTCGCCACAGCAATAAAATAAATTAAATATTCATTTCGTTTTATATTAAACTCATCTAATTAGCAGTTAAGCAGGCGATAAACATATTAATAACGATAAATTCTTTTTTTCAAGCGTAACCGGTGACGTATCTATTTTATAATGATTTAAAAGTAAAAATTAGATTCGATTAATTTATTTAAAATCATCTCTCTTGATTGGACCAGAGACATCAGTCTTTTGTAATCACAATTTCTTTTAAAAATATATTTCAAAAAAGTGTTCCAACCAGTGATGTAAATCAACGAAATGAAAATATATCGAGACAGCACGATATCGACAGTGAAAGAAAACAAACACATAAGTCAGAGAGGTACACAACGATGCGAAATATTAAAGCAAAATTGATTCAACACAAAGCGTATTATAAATACTGCCGCATTAAACCGTGAGTGTATTTAAAATAATTTAAATGGAAACGTCCCAGTATCGTTGCACGTTCACAAAACGTCTTTATTCCTTCATATAATTTACGGCAAGCTATAAACTCTGGTACCTAAAGATCGGTGAATAAAAGTTAGCATGGCGCAGGCGCTTGCACCAGCCGAGGATCCAACACTAAAAACCGAACCCAATGGCGCGGTATTATCGATAATTGTATCGATAAACATTTGGATACACGAATGATCGAGGAAATCGATTTGACACGCCACTTATTTAATCTGTCGATATTAGAAAATTCAAATATAGGTAATAATAGGAGTTTGAAATTTAATTTAGGTAATTGGTTTAACTACGTGTGACCTTTAGATCAATTTTCGTTTGTTACCTACCTATTCGAATATTATGAGTGATATTTTAATTTGTGGAGCTAGTTTTTTGTGTTCTGACGTAAAATTTGTGCAATCTAGAATTTAGTTTATGAAATACAAACCTTTTTACATTATGAATATGTAATTTTAGTATTAATACCACTACTTCGAGTACTACGACGTATCTTATAAAACATCGATGTCGATAATTAAATAGGCCCCATCACTGCCCGCGGCCGCTGGCCAGCGGAGCTCATAAAACCTTATGATAACCGCCATTATCATCACAAAGGATGCGTGTAATTGTTTGTCAAATAAATACTAATAAAATTTTGATGTTTATTAAATATAATTTTGAAAAGGACCCCTTTTATGTATTCTTGATTGTCGTAAAGAAAATAGTCCTAAAGGGATTGCGTAGTCCACAAACGTTTGAAATGATATATATTAAATATGGCAATAAAAGTTTAGTTGAAAAGATAATGAGATGTCCATTCGGTGTTTTCGTAAAGGATTGATTAAAAATCTGAATAGTGGTGCCCATGTAAATGGAATAATGGTCTTAGCTGATGCAGGATAGTGATTGTAATGGCATGCCCTCATGGTCACTGTTAATAGGTACCTAGGTACTGTTCTTTTAGCTTTGGAATAGGTATTTGCATTACTTTTTTTCTGAATTGCTACTGAAAAGCGAGAGATTAAAAAGTACCACACGAGTATCGGGTCTGGACCTGGGTATAACCAGATAAAATCAAACGAAACTCCGAAAAATGGGCAGTAGCATCCTTCAAATTTTTGGCGACATAACTGAGTTCTAAGCCTCCTGTTAAGCGTCAGGATTATGACCAAATTCTTCTTAAGAGAGAAGTCTGTCTTCTCTTGTCTGTTGAAAGTTGCGGCCATAATGTGTTTATACCGGGAGCCGGTGTTTCAACAGACAAAAGGTTAGTTTAGTAATGGATATACTCAGGCTGAGAGACGAGGTTGATGATGAGTATTCTTTTTTTTAAAGCATTACCCGGTAATCGAGCAGACGAATCACCTGGTAAGCAATCGGCGCCACCCATGGGCACCTGAAACACCAAGGCGTTACAAGTGCGTTACCTTTTAGGGATTAGGAATTTATATTGGGGATTCGGGTACTGGGGAGATCGGGGAGGGGAGTAATTGGGCCTCCGGTAACCTCAATCACAAGACGAAAAACAACGCAACGCAAGTGTTGTTTCACGTCGGTTTGCTGTGAGGCCGTGGTATCACTACGGTCGAGCCAGCCCATTCGTGCCGAAGCATAGCTCTTAACTTTAATCTACGACTTCGTTTTTAATATTTTAGTATTGACGCTTGTGGTCTCTCCACCAACACGTGGCAATCAATTAGGAAGTAACAGTTCACATGCTAAATGTCAAACGAGTATAATTCATATACAGTTATTTGATTAGACTCCAATTAGTCATTATCACTATTTTATTATAATAACAACGAGATTAGTCAGCGAATCGTTCATTCGATTTTGTTAATTAAAAACTGGTACTAATTTTATATTGAAATGACTTAAATCGACTTAAATCATGTTAATTTGCACGCTATTCGCTGATTCGCATAGCATTTTACAAAGGCTTAAAAGTGTAAACCCGTATTTTATTATAGAAACAACTATTAAATGAGGATCAAGAGTGCAATATCACCATTATTAAACCTCCAACGATGATGTTGCGTCGTGATGACGACCATGGTATTCTGATTCCTATAATGTGAACTGAAAATGTCAGACAAATAATTTTAGGTTTTTCAAGCATCATCATAATTCATCATTACTATCTTGGTTGCGTATAGGCCTCCTCATTTGAATCCTTTTGTCGAATCCTAAACTCTTAGGATAAAACTATAACAATTAGATACTTTTAAATTCCCATGTAGATTACCCTTTTAAACTAAGACTATCATCATAGGTACTTAGGTACCATCATAGCAGGTCATTCTCACACACAAAATAATCACAATTCAAATCAAAATATTTAAATCCAGACCGTTTACCGAAACACAGATTTGTGGCTATATTTACGTTCTAGACCTCAAACCGCAGTATCGTCCCTATGCACCATGAGGTCAGGAATAATTAGGCACGTAGCGTCCCTTCACCCGGCCTTGGGTGACTAATGCCAAATTGGTGATGATTGTGTGTGATTGACGATGAATCATTGCGACGGTAGATTGTAAAGGTGGTATGGTGGCAGTGGTAGCGTTAAGCGATTAATGAAGCGAGAGCTAAATGGGTTGTGGAAGCCAGGGCGTTAAAGCGTTTCTCTCTCGAAATGATATGAAATAGTTATATCATAACTTACATAACATAACATAACATCACGCCTTTTATCCTCAAAGGGGTAGGCAGAGGTGCACATTATACCACTGTACAATGTAATACCCACTTTTCACTATTTATGTTATGAGTCCCATGTAATAGGGGGTGAGCCTATTGCCATATACCGGGCACAGTTCCAGACTCCGTGTTACTACTGAGAATTTTTTTAAAACCCAGTAATACTTTGTCCGACCCGGGAATCGAACCCGAGACCCCTTGCTCGGCAGTCGCAATTGCGACCACTCGACCAACGAGGCAGTTATATCATAACTTTCGTGAGATATACTACATTAATTATTATGTTATCGGCGTACTCACGTAACTATTTGACGAGGAACTCGATTAGTTACAAGCCATGCTAGAGGCTCATATTCAACAGTAGAAGCGACAGTCGCTGCATCGTGTCTCGCGGAATGCTGCTCATGGATATCAGCTTCGAACTCGTTGTGTGCCAGAACGCAGGTCTCCACGAGACACAATATATTTTCTATTGTGTTTTATATACTGGCATTCGAATGGTTAAACAGTTTGTCATCTTGACCCAGGTTTTTGAACTTATCATTTTGTTATCATAAAATAGTTTGATTGACCTGTCCGACTAATTGGACTAAGATGTCGCTACTTAAAAAGCTTGATGGATACAAAATTTATTTCGTAAATCTTCCACAACACTAATTTACAACCATTTTTTATCACTACGACTACATTAATCGCTATTCGCCACTACTACGACCACAACCGCACATAATTCGCCGTCGAACAAATTGGACGTAACCATATTTTGCAGATGAAATCGTTAATAATATTAATTGCATTAGTCTGTCTGTCTATCATGGATATATTTACACCATTATATGTATTATTTGTAAACGCACACAGGACACAGGAGAAAATCCTAAAGGGGGGCAACGTTTTTTTTTTATAAAAAAAACATCTTTAGATTTTGGAAATAGACAGTGTAAGAATGAAGAAGAAGTAATGTTATTCAAATTATGAATTTTCTATCATGATAGTGATCTAGGCTCTATTGTTTTTATAGATGGGATTGTTACTCTTTACTCAAAGTCAAAGTCAAAGTATTTATTGCAATTAATCCTTAATTATGTACTTTTGAAAGTTATGTCCAAATTGAATTGTCCGTTAGTCTGTCTGTCAAATAAGCTAGGTGCTATTGGCATATTTATAGCCAAGGATATTAGTTTAGGTAGGTAAGTAGCTAATTATCGATGTATCTATTCGCTTGCATTAATATGTTGAGACCAGGTAACAAAACTGCGTGCTTGCTACATTCTTGTTCTTAGAAAACTTTATCTGTTACTAGCTTCTGCCCGCGACTTCGTACGCGCAATCCCATTTTCCCCCCGTTCCCGTTCGTGATTTTCGGTAAAAAATAAAAAAAGTATTGTATAAAAAGTATCCTATGTCCGTCTCCTGGTTCTAAGCTACCTCCCCGTCAATTTTCATCTAAATCGATTGAGGCGTTCTTGAGTTATAAATAGTGTAACTAACACGACTTTCTTTTATATATATAGATTACGGACCATATTCAAGGTAAAATTACTTGTAATGAAAGACCCATAAAGAAAACAACTCAATTTAAAATAACTGTATTTATTTATTTATTTATCAAGTAATACTTAATCACTAAACCTAAAAGGACGGATTTATGATAGGAAAATAAAATATAAAATAACATACCTAATTAAACTTATTTACAACATAATATACACGTCTGGATACCAAAACAGTGTTTCAATTTAACTTTTCTATTCGATTGTTATTTATATTATTATACAATATCTTTTGATTACAACTATAGATAATTATTTCTCAATTAACACATAAGATCAGCTCGTTGCCTTAATAATTCTAATCTTAGCTCATGTTCTCGCGCCGCTAGTCTTAAAGCAGCGATGCTGGATGTGCGCACGTCATCCATTACTGGGTGCATAGGCAAGCTTTCACTTCCCGGCGATATTGGAGGAGACATGGATGGTGCGGGAGAACGGGTGACTTCAGGCGACAGTCGGGAATGATCGGACGACGGTCGGGAAACATCGGGGGATAGTTGGGATAGTTCGGGCACTGGTCGGGAGTGTTCGGGTGATAGTCGGGGAGGTTCGGGAACGGTTAGATTTGCGAATAGGGAATGGAAGTGCGCTGGTGATGTCGCGTAGAGTGGAGCTCCGAAGAGAGGTGGACGCGATAGTGGTGGTAAATACTGAGCGCCGAATAGTGGTGTGCTTGCGTACCTGTTGGAAGAAATTATGGTATTAGATTTATATGCTACTCAACACTAAGGCTGATAAGTAAGGGGCCATGAGGATGTTCCATGAAATTTTGGAAAAGGATGTGATTTATAATAATACAGTTGCAGAGAGCAAGTAGGTAGTACACCATTTGAGTATGTATACAATTTTGGCAACAACAACTAAGACAAGACTTAGGAACCATATTTATCACTAGCTACTTCCGCGTGGTTTCACACGCTCTGCTCAGCTCCTATTGGTCGTAGAGTGATGTTTTATAGCCTATAGACATCCTCGATAAATGCGCTATCCAACACAAAAAGAATTATTCAAATCAGACTTGTAGTTACGGAGATTAGCGCGTTCAAACAAACAAACAAACAAAAAAACAAACTTCCACTTTAAATAATAGTATAAGATAAGATGTTCAAAATAGATGATTAAACTTACCGGAACGAAGCTAGAGCAGCATCAAAAGGTTTCCTTAATCCAAAGCCGAGTTGTGACAATGGATGCGGGGGCCCTGGTAGAGTAGCTGATGTTGGCAACGGTTGGGCCCCTCCCAGGTACCCACTATAGGGGTGAGCGTGGGGCCCCACCTTCTCTTGTTTACGCCACTTCGCTCGACGGTTTTGGAACCATACCTGTTGACAAAGAAAAGACGATTTTAGTGTGGTAAAGACATTGAGATATTTCCTGTTTATATGGCTAAAGGTGTAGTTAGACTGTGTTTATGATCGCAGACCCTTAACCCATATATCCCCAAGCGGATACTGGAACAAACAGTTTTCTACTTTTTTCTTGAACAACTTTTCTGTATCCATGACCTTTCACAGTAGTCGATTCTCATAATTTTGGTAAGTATAGAGGAAACAATAAGATAACTAGTTTATAATCCTCAAGGGTACCAATTTTCATAATCCCATTAAAGAGAAAGACGAGTACATGTTATACTAAATTAATATCTAGTTAGCAACACATAAATAATGATAACAACGGGTCTAAAGTCCAAACAAATAATTCCAAAACAAAAAATACAACAGATAAAATATACCACACGTCAAAACAAACATAAGTCATCTGTAACAAAGAACTTGCCAGTGTTAAAAAATGCAGTTGATAATCAATTTCTTTCTAGCAACACTAATTAAACGGCTTCACACTTAGCCACTTAATGAATTCCCGACGACTTTGTTCAATGTAATTACAATTATGCTAAAGCTACGGTTGAACTTTTAAAAAACTAGTCAATAGGGTTCATTTTCCATTGCTCCGTTAAAATTTAGAAGTCAGTTTTCTTAACAAAGACGTACAATGCATTTTGAACTTTATGGGAATTGTGTTAAAGTCAGTATTTCAATAACAATAGCCACGGGAATTCTACAGCATGTTCTTACATTTTCGAAAGAACGATTCATATTCCACTTCTATTTTGCATGTAACACAATTGATATAAGACTCATAATACTTCATACAGTACCTACCCCTATACGAATTTGCTTACACTCTATTTCCCGCCACTGCAAAATTAACCTTATGTGTTCATTCAAAATCAGCTAGTAACACATTATTTTCCTCAATTCTAAATTATCATCGTATTAAATATGCGATGGTTGCTCATTATGCGAACATAATCAATTTACTTGTCGTATTACTAAACTTTCTAAATATACATACTAGGTACCTATTATGCGAATTATTTCTTTAAAATTAGCAAAATAGTGTAAAAGACAAAGCTGGTTCAGTATAAATCAGGTGTTAACTATTTCGAAATACATAGATTATGGGATTGTGCATGCTATAGGACTTTAGTAGGATCTTTGATGGAGCTGATGTAGGCAATATAAACAGACCATTGTCTATAATTGTTAAAAAAGAATAAAAAATCTGTAATCCATAGAGAGAGCCAGGTGTTACGTCGCGATCGAATCAATGCTACACTAACAACTATGAAAATTTTTAAGTAGTTTTTATTTTTCCAATTGTTATAAAGGAATAAAAACTAAATATGTTTCCAGTTGTTACTGTATCTATAATCCGTTAATGGAGTTCCCTTACTGCACACAGACACACAGCATTGTAAGTAAATAACCACTAAAATAACCAGGCAGAAATCAACACCACGCATTTAAAAAAACCTCTACCAACATAATAATAATTCATTTATTAATCAGTAGAAAGTTTACTACCTATAAACAGTATTATTATAAATTAGTTGATAATATTATTATAAGAAAAAAAACTTAAGAAATCCAACATAAATCAAAGTTAATTAAGAGTCCAGGCGTGTTGCTTACAAAGGTCTAATTTGGACTTAAATGGAACGTCCAGTCATTACGTGCCTTGCCACTATTGGTAGCAAAAAAGAATTTAATTAATACCTGACTAGTTATGTTAGAGCACAAGTCTATTATATTATTAAATACTGAACGTTATTTTTATTAATTTTTTGCTGATAATTTGCAATGTGTATTTAGGGATGGTACTACAATATGAGTATTGACTTATTAGAGTAAAGTTTTCAGATTTTTTTTATTTTTCTGTTTACTGAATCTTCTTTGGAAATGGCATGTAATCTGGAACTGTGCCTTGAAATAGGTCATATTACTTGAATATGCCAAGGGGCTTATAAAATAATTGGTGAAAATAGGTGATACCTTCTTAACATCTGCACCTTAAATTAATTGTTTGAAGTATAAAGGTGTCATGTGTATAAGCTTTTGCATTAGTAACTTAAGTATAACATTTTTGTTAACAACATAATGTTCAAAATGCAATTTTTTATAAAAAAAAAACTAGGTTATAGACGTCATTTAGATCATCAAAGTTTAGGTCAAGTACCGCAACAGTTTTAGGTTTGAAAATTGACAAAGCTGTTACATTAAAAAAAATTACATCGACTGATTAAAAAATGAATAATTCTGTTATAACTATAGTTCTTTTTACTGTAATGTTTTAAAACAAGCTAAAAAAAACTTTGACGGCTCATATCTATTCATCTGAAACTATAAACTCTCAAATAATTTTCCATCAATAAAACAGGACCCTATTTATCTATTTATTGTATAAGTATTTATAATATAATCTATTGATAATTATTTTAGTGTAAACTATTTATATTTTAATGATATCGGCGCCACAATCAACTTTTATGGCATCTATCAAAGAAATTATTAAAAGATCTGCTTTCTGCTTCGTGACGACCAAACAGTTTTTTTTCGTAAGCATGATTAACTTCATTCAAAATGATTAATGTTTCGAATTTTTGTTTTATTTTAATTACTATATCAATTTGGTAATTAAAAAGTAAAAAAAACATTGTTAATGTAATCGTGCGTGTTTCGTAACTTCTGTCTGTGAATGAGGCAGAATGAATTTAAATGTGGAACGTGATTTTTTTATTCAGCCAGCCAATATATTTAAATTTTATTCTATTCGAAGTTCAAACTCGTATTGTTTAGTAATGAATTTTTATACAAACATGTTTGCATGTGATACATAATAATATGTTAGGATGTGCAATCGAAAAAAAAACTTGCGTACTTGACAGAAATACCTTTCCTTAAACATCGGGTAGGTAACTAATTGAAAAATTTTAATATTAATGCATTGTATTTGCATTGAAAAATGCACATAACTCCTTATACACACAACTTTTTAATAGAAAAGTTCTATCGACACGATACATATAAATTTATCTTACATCAAACAGAATATCATGTTCACAATTACAATGTAGCAACAACAAAAAAGCCTTTATAAGTAGACAAACTGGCAAAAAAAATGTAAGTAATTGGCAATTTCCAACAAAGTCGTATTTCCAATTTTGCCGTGACTTGGACATTAATGAAAACATCGGGACAGTTTCTTGGTCGTGATTAAGCGATCATTAAGGTGTCGTTTCTCCGGTGTATGGACGGGCGGAGTCGCGTTTCCCCACATGTCTTATAAGGAAGCTTGTCTCACTATTGTGACCATACGTCGACGTCGTAACGACAGATATTAATCGCTTTAATCTCTTTTAATAGTGCACTTTGATAGTACGACAAAAACTAACTTTACAATGATGTGACCTTTTTGAAAATTAATTTTTAAATGATCTTCTTCCATATGGGAAATTAGCTGCTCCTTCGTAAGAGCCAAATAAGTGTAAAGGACTACATAAAGATCGGGTATCAGTCACAGAGCTCTTTAGTATTTAAATAGTAACTATAGTGGTTGAGTATTTGAATTGAGAGTATTGGAATAGTGAAAATAAAAAAGTGACTGCACGGTTGGCGGGTTGGTGGGGCAACTGACGGTCGCGGGTTCGATTCCTGCACGGAACAACTCTTAGTGTGATCCACAGATTATTGTTCCGGGTCTGGGTGTCATATGTATCTGAACTTATATGTTTGTAAAGGCACGCACGACATAGGAGAAACTCCTAGTGTGGAGAATCGTTAAAAATAATCTGTACTACTAAACTGCGATCTCTCCCCAACATGCCAGCCAATCGTGGGGATTATTGCATGATAACTCCCTTATGTAGAAGAAACCTTAGTTGGGCAGTGGTTGCCAAGGGTTCTTAACGGTGATGGGTAATATAAACGATTTAACAAACAAATGTTCTAGTAATTTTCAACTACGATAAAAATGCACTAATGATGATAATTAGAATTACTTCTTCCTATAAGAAGCCATAGAATGTTGTTATTGTAACAATCTAAATCATATTTATTGCAATATTAACACACAATAACTATAATTAACTTTATAAGTAACTTCAGAAAAAAAATCATTCAATAGTTATTTATTAAATTCCTTTATAATTACAGTATTGTTTCTATGTAACACTGCTATCTAGTTTTTGTTCGTGGCTTTGCTTTGATTTTTATAATTAAAAGGTTCAAGCGTGGTGGGGTATCGCGCTGTCTCTTTCTTACATCTACACTTCAACAGGAATGACGTCACTACTGTGGTTTAACATCTCTTTCCTATTTTGATAGTTAACCTTACTTAGCTTTTCGATTTTTATAAAAATATCCTATCGAATAAAAGTCTTTAAAGTTTAATAGTTGCATTTAAAACCATTCAACTACGAGTCATGATAATGTTATTATCCTGAATTACTTTGTCAAATAAATAACGTATTTTTTGCTTTAATAAAACGCTCGATTCAGTAATGTTTATTACTGTACCAGTATTTTAATGTAATGGTCCTGTTAATTTCACATTAATGTGGTCAACGTGTTGGGCTACTTTTACGCAAAAGTACCTACGTGAGGACAACTGATAATTTCTTATTTATGAAATATTTATTTTTATTTTTATTTTTATTTTTATTTTTAATAAGTAGATAATTTATAAAATACTAGCTTTTACCCGTGGCTTTGCCCGCATATTCCTGTTTTATCCCATGGCAGCATTTAATCAGAATAAAAATCCTATCACCTAAGTCATCCCGTACTCTGCCTGTATATAGAAAATCAAGTGTCATTAAAATCCGTACAGTACTTTCAACGTAATTGACGGACTAACATCCAAACAAAGGAACTTTTAATATTAGTGTGATTAGTTTAGGAACCCACTACTAATGGTATAAAAATCTATTTTTTTAAATTCAATCATATTTATATTTATTACTAAATATTCCTCTAAGATACGTCTTGTCAACCAAGAATGGAATTCAAGAAATAGTTTTCAGTTAACAAAATCAATAATTATGTTTTCGGCTTACTCACTCGACTAATGACAGAAATGCTGCTCATGAATATGCATGGCTGGAAACTAGTCGAGTTCCTCGTCAAATAATTACGTGAGTAAGCCGAAAACATAATAATTTATTTATATATATCTCATGAAAGTTATAATTCAAACAAAATGATTCATAAATATGTAAAACAATTGTGCCATAAAATTAACATGATTTATTAGATTATATGTAATGTTCTGATAAAAACAATTGCAATGCGCGTGGGACTATTTGTTCGTATTGTGCAGCCTATGTTGAAAACTGCTGGCTTCTTTATGACATCGTTTCATTATTGTTATGAGTTCGTTTTATTTGCCAACAACACATATGCGTGGTTGCATGTGCGACTATCGAGTGCGAAGTTTCGAGTTCAATACCAAATTGTGGGATACTTGGACATTAAAATTTACATTTCTTTTTTTTTATAGCATAAGCCGTTAAACGAGCGGACGGATCACCTGATGGTAAGCAATCGGCGCCGCCTATGGACACTCGAAACACGTCACAAGTGCGTTACCGGCCTTTTTTGGAATTGGGAATTTCAGGATTGAGGAGGATTCGGGGATTCGGAGATTCTTCTAGAAGTAATTGTCTTGGTTTAATTTTATATTTTAAAGTGTAAATAACTATAACAAGGAATAAATATATAGAAGTATCTACATACAATTTTATTAGGTAACAAAATGTTAATTTTAGTTTAACTGTATGCATGTTATGTTAACTAAGTGTAGTTATAATTACGGTTCAATTAATACGGTTTATATATATTATATTAACTACTTTAATTAAATTGGTATGTGGAAATAAGAAATTACATTATAGTTATATCTTAAGTAAAGGCAATCTGGTCAATTAATTTAAAACATTAGACACGCTTTTTTTTCTTTTCTCACAACATTAAATACTATCGACGTTTAACGCCATTTTATTTAAGTATTGTAACTTTATACGAGAAAACATTAAAATACACACTCACATAACAACATCACGCCTTTTATCCTCGTAGGGGTAGGCAGAGGTGCACATTACGGCAGCAGTTAATGCCACTGTACAATGTAACATCCACTTTTCACTATGTATTAAGTCCCATGCAATAGGGGGTGAGCCTATTGCCATATACCGGGCTTTCAGGCAATTTCACATTTTCAGGCTCCGTGCTACTACAGAGATTTTTTTTAAACTCTTGTTTTTTGAACTCTTTTTTTTAAACTCTTTTTTTTAACTCTTTTTTTAAACTTTTTTAAACTCTTTTTTTAAACTTATACTTTGACCGACCCAGGAATAGAACCAGAGACCTAGCGATTACTCGGCCAACGAGGCAGTCTAATTTCCATACTCCGGCAGCAACTATCCTATTCAGTTACTGTGTGATAAATAGGTTATTTGACAATAGAATTGAACTTGGGACCTTGTACTTGACCGTCTCAGTTACTACGACAAACGATAACCAATAAACCATTAAAAATTTATGTCACTCATTTTTTCTTTATTTTTGAGTTAACTATTTGTTTGAGTCATACTATTATTTAATTAGTTTATTTAGTTCTTGGTATAATAATAGAACACACATTTTTCCATGGGAAACCCCAGACGATAATTTACTCGATAAAAATAATATTCCGGGGAACTTTTTAAACGTTGAATTAAATATTAATACTTACAATAATTGAGTCCGACTGCGTAAATGGACAAGTGTAGGTAAAATATCAAAGGCGGCATTTTAAAATAAGTTTTATGCGTAATATAATAGAGTTTGGAATGTGTAAACTGTCCAGCTGAGCGTGACTTGTGAAATCGATGTCCTGTCGCGCGACTGTAGGGGGCCTAAGTGCGACTTTTTGTCGCACCACCGCTAAGAAAACTCGCAGACACAGCACATCAACCTACACCTTCTATCATTCGATTTTCAACTCTATATTTTGCTTAGAAAGTCGAAAATCAAATGAAAGAAATTGACTGATTGGTGTAACTTGACCTGCTGTTCACAGTACTTTAATTTTATTACTTTTACCTTAACAGACGTTTTGATTGACTTAATAATATCGCTCCAATGAATAAATGGATAAACCCTGATTCCAAAATTCATTATAGAGAAGCCTGAGACCAAAATCAAAAAGTTATCGATAAAAAATCGATCGTAATTTGTATCGATATTGTTCTTACCTGAATTCTAGCTTCGGTGAGGCCGATTTTCAAAGCGAGTTCTTCTCTGCAACAAGAGGAAATGTTTCATTAAAATTTTGTTTTAATAATGTAAGTGTAAATGTAAAGGTGACGATTGCGAGATGCAGACATTCGATTGTTTTCAGTCGATGGTCTTGATTATGCAAAAAATATATTGCGAATGATTGACTTCAAATTATGTTAATGAAAACTTTAAATAGCAAAAAGAAATTTATAAAGGAATAATAAATATGAAACATACAAATAATAATTTATCACCTTAAGTTTTAATATTAGTATTACGTGAAAGTGGGTACTGTAAAATGCAATAATTAGTAAGTAGTGTCCCGTGCTCCTGCACATGTTTTAAGGTACTTAATTGCACGACGATAGTGAATTATTTTGAAACTTTTTGTTACTATCAATCTAATATAAAATGTTATAATATGTACACACACATGTCAGAACCATCTTTTTCTTCATTCATATGTGTGAAGTAACAAAAACAATATTTCAGTATATTTCAGATGATAAATTATTAACCTAGAACCCTAAAATCGACTAGATACAACATAATAATTGTCTACAATACTAAACTCTGTACGTAATCGTTTCGAACATATTTTATATCATAATTAAATAATAATTTACGACTAAAATACAAAACAAGAATAGAAAAGAGAGAGATAGAGAGAGAAAGAGAGAACAAGCTTACCTCGTAAACACATCAGGATAATGTGTCCTTCCAAAAGCCTTCTCCAGTTCATCAAGCTGGTAACTGGTGAAGGTGGTTCTGTATCTCCTCTGTTTCCTCTGAGGAATGTCCTCGTCATCCAGGCCGCTGCCGGACCCTGGCCGCTCGTGTTCCATGGGAGGAAGGTCAGGAGTGGTGGAGGAACCAGGCTCAGACACACCCATAATGAAGTGAGGGAAGTAGAAAATGATGAGGTAGTCCGAATTGAGTTCTGTAACAAAGGAAATAGTGTTAAATTTACGGTTGACAAGAATTCTATGAATGATTGGTAAATTGATTTGTAGCAAGCCAGTCTTGGTTAGTTGCAAATATGAAAAGACATATACAATACGATTCACCAGTTATGGTGGGTGTGAAGTTAGCCGCAAGTCACTTTCACGAATTGATTGTGTTCATTTAGAGTCAATTCCTAGCATATCCCTGTTCCGTACACGTCACCGGTTTTATTCCTATAATACGTAATTGCACAGTTTTCTAAGCGAACATCACACCCGCTGTAACTCGTGAACCATACAGTACATAAACCAAAAAGGTTATTGATCAAATTGACAAAACTTCAACAAAAGTGCTAATTTAAAAAATAACCTAATTTTCTACCAATCCGATTTTTATCAATTGTAGTCATTCTATTGGTGACTAAACATAAACTATTATTATCGACAGAAATGATTTCAACAAGATCATTTTCGCCAGTGGCGCCAATGATTAAACTCTAAAATAGTATTCTCATTTATTCGAATCCAATGCCTGTCCATCCTACATCCAGGATAATGAAAACAAATACATCAATGACACAGTTATAAAGAGATATCAGCACTACAGGTCAATCTATAATTAAACAAACACGATCATGGGAAACCTTCACAGTTTTATTTAACTTAGATTATTACAAAGATATAATTACATTAAAGATAATGACGTGTGTTGTTATGCAACGGGCTGTGTCGGTCAGTCAAGCCCTTGCGATCAAACTTCAAGCGCAATTTAACATCTATCATTATGGCTTATCTAAATTGCAATATTAAACATCCGCTTTCACTTCGCCATTGTTGTGAATAAAATGTAATATCGATAGAGAGAGATATCACTCTTTGTTTGTTTAGTTTAGTTTGGGTAACTATTCAAATTCAATACTTTTTACGAACTGTCAAAAATGACAGTTTTCTATGAATTTTGTACGAGATTGTGTATTGTGACGTCACGTTTTTTTAGCGTCGAACAGCATACTTATTTCTCAAAATTTGCTGGAAAAGTAGTAAAATTAAGTTGGTCATAAAAACAATTAATTAAAGTGTGATTATTTTTTTATATTTCAGTGTATTGAACAGACGAAATAATTTATTTTTGAATAAGGAAAGTACCTGCATTGTGGGCGGTAAGCAAAAATATAACGTGGTGTTTAATATGACAAACGTCGAAATATGTCCCAATTTCAATGTTTTGTTAAAACACTATATTCTTCCTAAAAAATGTAGGTACTATGGAAACTACGTTATATTTCTATACATCATTAGCTAATAATGTAACAGATTCAGTTAGATAAAATGAAGATGGAATCAATTCTGTTTACATTTTTACTCATTCAAATTTGTCACAAGCAAAAATGGCAAAAAAAGTAATCGTATACGACCATCTGTTTATTGTCAGACATTCATAAAAGTCTAGAGTATCTAGTTAAATTCTAGGTTCCCTATACATATCTTCATTTGAATTTATTACCAACAGCAAATTAAAATGCTTTTTATTTCCGCCACAGTTGGCAGAACACGCTGAAGTTACTGCCAACTTGCACAGAAATTATCACCGTTTAGCTAAACAAAAAAAGTGTTTATAACTTAGAATATTTTAACTTTACATTTTTATTGATAGCCATAAACTATAGGGTTGCTGATAATATTTTTTTCTATTTACTTTTTGATAGAGATATCTAAATATGGGTTTATTGGAAAACATTGGCTTTTTATGAGTATGTAACACGGTGTTGAATGTTGTGATTCGTGTTTATTGTTAGTAGTAGTAGCTTAGTTTTCATAACATAACATAACATCACGCCTTTTATCCCCGAAGGGGTAGGCAGAGGTGCATATTATGCCACTGTACAATGTAACACCGACTTTTTACTATTTATGTTATGAGTCTCATGTAATAGGGGGTGAGCCTATTGTCATATACCGGGCACAATTCCAGACTCCGTGCTACTCTGAGATTTTTTTAAAAACCCTGTCTTACTTTAAGTTTTCATTAGCTAAGTTTTCATCATATTATAATTATATTGAACCTTTGTTAGCTACTAAGACTTAAAGTAATCGTAATTAAATCCCTTTTTTCTACCACACGATAATTTATTGACCTATGTTCTTCTGTGGACGTTTTGTAGCTGACAAAAATATCAATATCTCACGATAATCACGTTTGACTTTACCATTACATTAGTCACAAGTAACTGGACTTCTCAGTTCACGCGTCAAAAAACAAAAAAAGATAAGTTTTCCCCCATTGACATAAAATCGACATTCTTCAATGTAAGCAGCGAACTGTGGCGGACTATGTCAACAACGCTGTTTAAGAGAGAAAAAAAAGCCTTTGAAATTACCGTAATCTCATTAATTACAGCATATTTTTCTAAGCAGAGTGCGGCAGCGAATCTTTATCTCCAAGAAACAATTAGCACAGTTAATCAACTAGAGAGATCCAATTAAACCAGTGTTTAATTACATTTTAGTAATAATTAAACGCTGTATCTGTTCCAGTGTTTGTTGAAGTTAAAAAATGCACTTTAGTTGCTTCATTATTGAGTTGAATGTTGTGTGGGTGTTTAGTGGTGCAAAAAACTAATTTAAAATGCCTTTTGTGGTTGTTGAGTGGTGTCTTTTGTTTGGTACGCGTTGTTTTAAGAGATCAGGTGGAGGAATTAGGGGGAATTTGATATAAACGTGATGAATTTCAATAGTATTCTGATATCGTATCATATATTTCTTAAATGTTAAAATTAAGTTTATTTTTAATATTTTATTGTATTGTAATAATTTATGTATTTTTGATTAAACTGTCAAACGCGGCGCGGTCACCGGTGACCGCAACCTATTGTCCTTTAATTGTGTCTAATTACATAAATTATATAAAAATTATAATAATTAATACTAATACTAATTATATAAAATATAGAGACGGTACTCAACGAGTTAAGGAAAGTACCTAATTATGGAATTTAATGTATTGCATCAACTTCGGCCCAAAACAACGACTGTCTGGGATAAATTTAACAAATATAACTGTTTATAATACATGAACTAATTACATAGATACAACTGTGCTAATCGGTATTCAGTTTGTAATAAATGTTTAAACTGTTGTCCTTTGTTTTTGTCTTTTTGTTTGATTTCCGTTTACCCTGACATCTAGACACTTTGTTAGGTATTCATAATGCCTACCTAGGTAGACTATGCGTTACATGTACTATATATGTATTTTTATTTCATTTAACATCAGCATCAACTAATATATAACGGTCATATATATACACAATATGTGGATAGCTATATATTAAATTTTGAGGGCCGATTTTTCCAAGGCCCCATTTACTTTTATCAGAGGAATAACTTTGAATATTTGACAATTCTTCCATATTAAAAAACTTTATTCTAATTTTTCTAAAATTTATACTACAGTTAAAAATATTATCTATTGATTGAAAAATGGGCTATAAATTACGAAATATTCATTTTATATATATATCATTATATATTTTTAAAAGTAACTGTACCTAAACATTATATACAAACTGAACTGATAACAATTTTTATGTAATATTCTTGAATATGATAGCGTAACAGAGAATAGTTTTTACATTAGTCCCATGTAATATAATAAGCGATAAACTTATTATCAGACAGAAATAATACCGAACAATGCTTATTACGAATCGAATCTAGACTTACATGCTCAAAAGTCATGTTTAAAATTGCTCAACTAACGAGGAAATCACGTCAGTCAATTTATGTCAATGACAAATAAACATCGGAAACAGAATGTTTATGAAACACTGATTACATAAATAATTAATTAACTAATTGATTAGAGAATAATTCATAAAATGATTGAAACGCTCCAATAACTAGAAGACATAGTTAATTATTGAATTACGTTTAATTAACCATGTAGTTAGTAGATAAAGTTTAGTTTTATAATAAAGTAAAACATTTTTACGTTTTTTATAAGTTTTTTATATTTACAAAAAAAAAGGTTAAATGTTGATTAGAGTTTGTCTGGTGAGAAAATCTTAGATGTAGTGGTTTAAATCGAGGAAAGAAACTGAAACTTAACTATATATTGTCCTTCTTACGGATTTCTGTAACTGCGACCCTTAATAGCTATCTGCTGTCGTGTGCCTGGATGAGGCTGGCCAGACCGAATTTAGTTTTGGAAATCCATTCATAACTAAAGCAGTAAAGCCTAGCTTAGAACCTCTACTATAATGAGGTAATGAGTTCGCTCTTTATAACAATGAACATAAAAAAATCTATAACGGCCAAAAAAGTCAGTAGATATAGATTAATTAACTCCGAAAAGATAGGAGGTAGTAACATAATTTGAGTGTCGCAGGTGAGTTCGTTCATTCGAGTATCCAGTGACTCTCATTATTTTCTGGGATTGAGTGTGTGGTTTTAGTCGGTAAGAGTCCGACATATCCGGATTTCCAAATGTTAAAAAAAAAGGTATAGATAGATTACCTATAGATGTTGTAACTAGGAGAGAAGTAGGAAAAAGTGCTTACGTAACATTTTGAAAAAAAAAATAACACGCATGACTTTCGTTGACCTGAGTAAAAAGCTAAAAACGACGAAGAAATTCGATAAACACGAGGAAAATAAGACAAAGAATACAATTACTGGGTTAGGTTAGGCCCTGACAACGATACTAATACGAGACAAGAACAATACAACTCTTGAATGGATAGTAGCAAAGGGTATTAGACAATAGCTAACAATGATCTTAACGACCAAATTCTCACCCGACGAGACGTTCCGATATTATTATTGAAACATCAATGAACATTCTTTACACTGCCAAAGTTAAGCCAGCTAAAAGAGAATTATAGTTACTGTTTTTCTATTGCAAATCATATTATTATTACCCAAAGTCCAAAAAATTGGGCACCCTTCAT